TGGCCCTTCACAACTTGCTAAACACAAGCATTTTTGAAAATCAGGTTTGCTCGTTCTTAATGCTTTAAAATTTCAGCAGCTGCAGTTCAGCACCTAGAGGATCACTGCCAGCCATGTTCCCTGAGCCACGTTGCCTTCATCTTCTCTCTTTTAGGATGAGATACAGGGAGTACCTGTTATCTAGGCTGATACCTTTGCCTGGGGCAAGGCTCTTGCTGCTCACCACTGTGCAGCTGACTGGAGCTCAACTGTGCCGCAGAGAGAGGATTTGTAGCTTCTTTTCTTGTTATCCCAAGGCCACTGTGGTGACCAGCCTGCAAGGCAAAGAGCATTCCCCTTGGACACTTCTTCCTGCAAGAGCCACACTAGAAAAGGCCAATCAATAGGAGTAAAAACATCAGTAAGAGAAAGCATAGAGAAGGTTTAGCACCATCTTTAGTACCAACTTGCATTTCTAGGGACCCTTATTTTCCCTTACAGTGGTCACATAGCTAATACCTTTTCAACATATGGCTGTAAATAACCCTCCCCCTGCCCCCTCATTCTCACTTGCATCTCATCTGCTCCAGTCATATTTTCCAGTGACTTGCCCACAGGCTGATGGGGTTTGATCAAAGGCAGCCATTAGAAATTATTATGCAAATTCACTCATCAGTGAATGCTCATTGAATGACACTGAAAATTACACCAACCATGGCAGCCAAAACACCTTGAACCCTGGCTAATGATGTGCAACCCCGTTCACATTTCTCAAGTGAATTCACCCATTTTGAGTTTGAAAAGCTAAAAGGGGACAAGAAGTTGGCAGTGGGCTTAAAGGGGTGGTTACAAATAGCATCAGTCCCAGGAAGCACTGAAGGAAAGAGTGCCTCCCACTCAGAGACAGGAATCTGATTCCCATTACTAAGAAGAGGCATTTACTTCTTTTTGAACTGCAAAGATCATGCTCAAGTTACCTCATCCCCCTGTAAAACTGATCTATGGAGTTCATTACAGCACAAGGTTTTGCTGCTCAGATTTATTGGAGATGCAAGAGCAGACAGGCAGACTCGAGATAGGAAATAGCATGCATCATCCACTGTTGAGTTTCCTCTCTACAGCTCCGCTAAGTGTGGGTTTTGGCATGCACTCTGGAAAAAAATATTTTCCATTAATAGTCTGGACTAGTGGATCAGACCAGTAAGCTGCCTTCCAAGAGTGGTGAGATCCAAAACATGTTTAATTTAGTCTAAATAGGACGCCTATGATCTGCAGTACTTCCTGGATATTTGTAAATGCATGTCATTTTGCAGAGACGGGTACAGACATATGGTTTGCATTTTCCTTTAGCTAATTATTTTTGCAGAAAGTTAGCACTAGAACTGATCAGAAAAACACCAACCAAAATGCAAGTGTCTTCAAATGGAAAAAAAAAATATTAAATTCATCATCAGAAAAATTTGCATCCAAACCTTTACTCTGCTCCAGCAAGGGAGCAGACATGCTCTGTGACCTGCGTTTCCGAAGGAAACAGCTTGCATATCAAATCCTCATGACTGATGAAGTGCTTGTGAACAAGCAAGAAGCTGCAAATTATTCACAGAATTTATTCAGCAAGCATGAATGAAGACATTGCCCAGCCCTCCGACATGATTGCAAGCCACTTGTGAGTCAAGAGAGAGGCAAAAATCCTTACTAATTATTATCCCAGCCTATGAATTCAGACTAAAGGAATGCACTGATATTTGTATGCATCTCTCTCTCTCTCTCTCATTTTGTTAACTGAATATTGCCATAAGACATATTTTCCTCTTTGGAGCTTTAGCCAGGTCTCACAGCATGCTTTTAGTCTGCACATGAAACACAGCATGAAAAAATCTGTCACCTTTCTATAGGAGGCCATTATTGTCAGTCTCCCTTGCCAGCTTTGAATCCGATCTGCCACTCTTGCCAAATTGAAATGTTAATATCCCTTTGATACTCTGCTATGTTTTTGCCAGGCTGTATGTAATAACTTATGCTGGAAGCCCTGAAAACAACTGTCTGTCGAATATTGGGATGTCCACATAAGATAGGAATAAAACCCTACAGCTGAAGAAATTTCAGATCATCATAATTTCTAAATGGGTTAAAGAAACCCAAACATAAAATTAAATATTGTGCAGCCTTGAAATTTATCAAACAAAACAGCACAGCAAAGGGGAAGAAAAAGTCTTAGGAAGAAAAAGTCTTAGGATGCAATCACTGAAATAGAGCAAAAAAACTAAGCTAAAAAGTGACAGTGCATTTTATAATCAAAAAATGAAGTGGAATGGGTAAGTCAAGGGACTTATGACATGCTTATTATATGAGCATTTATATGAATATTAATATTATATGAACATAGCATATGTATGCAATGTAAAGCAATGCATACAGACATCTTTCCTCATAATGGTGCTGGTTTTTTCTTGTAGTTGTTACAATAATGATGTACTATTAAAATCATACAGATTAGAATAAATGAAAGCCTGGTTGTTTTTTTTTTTTTTTTCCTGTTCTAACCAGATTCAGATATCTCTTTATTGAGGGACAAACTCTGACAATGTAGCCCTACTGATGTGTTTCACATGATAGGAAAACAAAAAATCTTTCCTTCTCTTAAAAGGCAAACCTGGTTCCCAGCAAGCCCATCTGCAAGTGACCTTATAATAACAAAAAAATTACATAATCCCAAGACTGTTATCTAAAAAAATCTTTTTTATTCCACTTGCATATGGGTAGAAGGTGCCAAGTACAGGATCCCACAATTGACATTCAGAAAAATTGTCTTTAAAGTACATGCACCAGTGTTAAAATTTTTTTAAAATTTCATTTTATAAAATTTTTTATAGCTATCTTTTTTTCTGTCTCTATTGAAATACCTTTAAATAAAAAAGCATTAGCTTTCCTTTACTTCTTGGAGGTACTGAAAACTATGTGGAGGATTGCAGCTCAGGCTAGATGGTGGTATTTAAAGCATAGCTGCTCTGTACTCCAAAATAAGGCCAAAGAATGAAGCAAACTTAACTCTGAAGTTATTAATCTTCACAGCAATGACAACATGCAGATCACATCCGTTCCCAGATGAGCTTCAGACACTGGTCCTGAAGGATGAAGCTCCATTCTGCAAAATGGTAACAGAAACTCTTGTACCATCCAATTTTTTACTTATTGTTTGGATTAACTGGGCTGTAGGAAGGTGTGGAAGTGGCTTGGAAGTCTGAAGAAGGGTTGCTCTTGGATCTCACAACAGTCCCACATGTGACATCTGCACATGATTAAAAGGCGTCAAGTGGCTGAGAGCAGAGAAAACCTTCAGGAATTTATTTAGATCTTTGACTAAACAAAACTTCATCATACTTACCATTCCCTTTTCATCTGGTTCATCAAGACCTTTCCTCTTGTAATAATTCATGTTCCAGATCTGGCTATATGGACAATTAGGAGCGTCCTTCACATCCAGCTAAGTTCTGAATACACAGCTAAGTTCTAAAAATGTGTTTATAAACAAATATTTTCAGATATTGTCTAGACATTTAGAACTGAAGGCTTTCTAAGCAGGAAATGCTGGGAGGTCAGTGCCTCTGCTTTCAAGATACTAATAAGGAACACATGGAAAAGATGCAAAGTAATTCCTACAAATCCTACAAATTTCCATAAAATATTAACAGGCTTTCTGATTCTATTGTCCCAGGCTCCATAGTAAGACATATGATTTAGTTATCCTATTTTATACTTATTTTGGAGGTTAAAATTTCATCAGCAGATAAAGACATCATTTTGTCTCCACTAATTCCCATTATTCTCTGTGTCTTGAAATGGAAGCATCTTTAGTTTTTCCAGGTTTTAATCCCTCCCAGTTGAAAACCTGTTAGAGTTCTCAATTTATTGCTGAATTATTGCACCGCAGAATCATGATCATGACATGAAGATTTGGGGTAAAAATGCGCAGTTCCATTTTTTCCCCTTCTCTCTGAATAGCTGTTTTTATCCACTCTGAATAGACAGCATAAAAATGCTCTGTAGTCAGGGTAGAGATGACTGGGGCTTTTATCATTCTATAGGGTTTTCATTATTCTCCCACAGAATTTTACTATTCTCCTAGGTTCCTCATGAAACTGCTGCATCCAATGTCAGGAGTGTTGGGAGTTTTGCATCATAACTGCGAATGAAATGCAGTGATAAGCTGGAGAAAATGTGCACTGGAAAAGACAGGACATATGCATTTGAACAAATAGATTCTTCCCAACATGCATGAACATTTCTTCCCAGCCTAAATGTGTCAAAATATGTGCAGAACTCATGTAATATAGCAGAAGGGACAGCATGAAAGGGGTAAAGTTGGTGTGAAATAACAAAATTTATCTAAACAAGCTCATTTCTTTTACTTTCTCCTCAAGCTAAGCATGTCACTTATAATGAGTCTAGTATAAGCTGAACTAGCCTAAAGAAATGGTCATTTAGTAGTCAGTCCTGCAAAAACATGAATGCCTGCCTCAGAAATCTGAGCAGAGCATTCAGTAGCAGAAAACACGATCCTACAGGATCAGTGTAATTCCAGTCTGTCTGACACAATTTAAGTTTACCTATTTTCTACTCATAATAAAAAACAAACAAACAAAAAATAAAACCAAAAACATACACAAAAAAAAAAAAAACCAAAGACAACTTTACAAATATTAACATTCTTTCCTTTTAGCTCTCTGCTAGTATTGCCACACTGCTCTAAGCATTTAAATATATGAGACATCGTCGAGGGATGAGTGAGAGCTTCAGTCAAAGTTTATTAGAGGAGTCCACCCACTGAGTCACGAGGTGCAGAAAGGACCCCCTTGCTTTCTAAACTCCTTCTCAGAGAGTAGTCTGGGTGCAGCTGGATCCAATCTTAGCCCCAGACTTTGTCAACGGTTTGAGGAACTACAGAGATGTGGTTGAGCCTTTGTACAACACAGTCCCGTGGGATTAAGGATGGCAAATCAGATGTGTTTTCATAAAAATTAATTAGACAAAAAGGTCTTAATCAGAATTATTTACTCCACAGTATAGAAGCTAAAACTACTGATATAGTAACGTACAGTACAATGAAGAAATGATATTAAAGCAATTACATTAAAGCTAGCCAAAAAAGAAGCAATTATTAAGTAGAGGTTGATGTTACTGAGCCATACCAACGACTGTGGGCAAACCTCTTTTGGTCAGCCTTGAGAAGTAACTTTTAGGGGAGTTCTCACCCAAGGGAGGAATCTCCACACACACTCCAAGAAGGGGTATGTTAGAAGAACCTGCTGTTTGAAAGTGGGACTGAACTTTTATAGTATAAAGTGATTGACTGTCAGTCATCTGTCTCCAGGCCAGCTGTGTCAGCTTAACATTTTTAGATAAGGGTACTTTACTGTGTCTGCCACACCTTTACCTCACTATCAGGATGTGTAGCTTTGGGGTTGATGAGGCAGAGTGGTTTTGGCATAATTCAACACCAAAAGCAGCATCACGGCCCCTCTCAGCCCACCACTGACAGCTTTGCAAAACAGGGCGCTGTTCAAGTTGTTTTACCTCATTCCAGGTGGAGCATCCTGATACAGATATACCGGTAAAATACTTCAGAATTATGGAAGTTTCATAAATTAACCTGAAAGGGTAATTAACCTGAGCGTTATCAGTGCATTCTAACAGCACTTACCGAATACACCTCAAGACATTTTGCCTTGGAACAAGTGATGCATTCTTGGACTGTTTAAAGAACAGTTAAAAGTAAAGAAAAAGGAAAACTTTCTTTCCATAAGCTCTTGGTAGCTGTTCAGAAATATGGTTACCGTCCGTTATTTCTTTGGAATGAACTTGTAAGCTCCTTTTTCACTTCAGCTTTCCAAAAGCAGCAATTAAGCGTGGAGAAGCAAAAGAAAGAAGGAAATCAGAATAGCAGCTAAAGGTGAGAAGCAAAGCAAAGAGGAAAAAAAGAAGAGATTCATAAGGCATAAGAAAAAAATAAAGAAAAATGTAAAAATAAATGGAAAGTCATTTTTATGAAGGTCAAAGACTCTGCAAGCATAAAGAAACTTATAAAAATCTCTAACAAGAAAATTATAAAATCCAATTCCTCTACATCAAACATAATTATGAAAAAATGCTTAGAAGAAGAAACAGGTAAGCAGGGAAAGTCCATTACATGTGCCCAGTCATGGAGAAGTGCTGTTCTATCTTTGTAAGAGCAGTTCCTTTCTGAAACTTCTTTCCCTTTCTTTATTTCTTACTTTTCCTTGATTATAAGCAGAAAATACGATACATATAATTGGTAAGTGTTGCACCGTGAAAGACCTAAATCCATCCTGACAATTTCAGTCTTGAATTCCTTTCTATGCTGGGCTATTCTTGAGTTTGTGCACTCCTTAGACATTCATATATGAGTGAGCAAGGGTCATAAGACCCATATAGCAAATGTCAAGTTCTTCTATGCTAAAGAAATGGAAATACAGTATGCTGCTTCTGAAAGAATAGGGCTGAGGGCTAAGTACCATAATTTTATTTCAGATACTGACATTTTCCTGGAACGTCAGATGTCTGAAAGAGTCATCAATTCTGACTGGTTATTGAAGAGGCAGTTGTGAAGACATTCAAAGCCTTTCAATAGCAAGGCATTCCTTTTCTGTCATCAAGTAAGCTTTAGAAGCAATTTGGTCTAGATAGATACTTCTGTCCATTGACCTCTTGGGATAAGACAGTCCCTAGCTCCTCTCAGAAATATGTTTGAAATGTGAATTCTTCACTGAGGAGAAGCATATACAGACTTACAATTGAAACAGCTCTTGAGACTCTGAAAGGCCTTTTCAAAGACTTGAAACATTATAAAAGGAAGTGCATTCTTGGTTAGCTCTATTAACAAGGCTTCCTCAAAAAACTTGATGCAAAAATTTCCTGTGGAGAAGTCTCAGAAGAACTGAGATCAGCTCAGTTGGTTAGAGCATGATGCTAACAACACTAAGATTATGGGTTTGATCCCTGTATTGGCCATTCACTTTAAAGTTGGACTCAGTGGTCCCTGTGGGTCCCTTCCAACTCAGAATAATCTTTGAAACTGCAAACAGAAGAGATTATTTTACTCTAGGGATAAGGAAAGGTCTGATCTGTAAAGTCTATTAAGGGATGAAAAAGGTCCTGGTATTTGTGTCTGTTATTAATTGAATTATTAATTAAACAGATAATTTAGAACCAAACCAACCTTTCCCAACATGTAAATTAGTCAAATGAGAGTGGTCCGGTTTCAAAGAACATTCTGTGGACGTCAGACACCTGCCAAAACTGCTTATGGAAATGTAGAACACAAACAAAAATGTTTTTTCCTATGAGTCTATCACAGCCAGGCAAGCTGGTGATTCAGTTCAAACCTAAGGAGCAAGGTGCATATGAAAGGTAGGAAAGTAGGAGCCAGAACACCAGCGCCAAGAGAGAAATCTTACTGTGCTGACATACCTGCTTTTCTTAGCTTGCTATTTAACAGAGCACTAATTTCCCTCTGCTCCCTGAATCTAGAGCTCAGTTGCTCAAAATTAATTTGCACCCCTGTGTAAACTGTACAGCTTATGGTTAGATGTAGGGTTTTTTTTTTATTTTTCTGGAAATTGAGGTAAAACCCTACAGTATTTCACTTAAGGATACAGACAGTAGGGCACTTTGAGTCCCTATTTTTAGTTTTGCTCTTTCACACTTTGCATTTTCTCCAGAGACAACACTATTTCTCAGTTTTCTGTCTTGCAGCTCTCACTCCCTCACATTGGAGCCTCAAACCACTTCAGAGAACAATTAGTGCGAATTCTGCCTTATTGCAAAAGGACGCTTAGACAGTCACAGTGCAAGCCAAACTCCAGAAGAACTGTGGAAATGAAGTCTGAAGGTGCTTTGAAATGGGAAGTGTTGAGCAGCTCATGAGCAGCATGTGGGTGGTGAGAGATTAGCTCCTGGAGACTGTTCTCAGCACAGCATGATGCAAGCATTGCCAGCCCATAGGAAACACAAGGAAAACTGAAACGATAACAAGAGTCACATTTCCTCCCTTAATGACTTGAACACTTAGATTGTGAAGCAAAAAATCTTCACAAAATCTCAGACCTGCACATCCACACCACAGGAGTGTGCCTGAAAAGTTAGTTATCTACCAGAGTACAGGCTGGGCAAAGAGAAAAGGGGGGAAAAGCTGAACTGAGGCATGTTATTTGAGAAGTGCCCTGCTTTCCACTTGTGTTTCCACTAAGGTTGTTTACAGAGTTGAGCTAAAAGAAAAATAGCTGAGTTTTCAGCTTGCAATCTCTGGGATCATCACTTTCTCATATGTCTCAAGCCCTTAATTAGAAAACCTCCCGTCAGAAAATTAAAACACCCTAAAAACATTACTTTTCTCTGCTGCAAATGTACAATGCTTAAACCATGCTCACTAATGAGGCTTTCTGCCAGCACTGGCAGAGGCCTTGGTAAGCAATTAATTGTGGGACAGAGAGGAAGACCCCTTATATGCATTAATTTACACAGTCCTGTTGGGCTCGTTGACACTTTGTTAAAAGCTGTGAATTGATTTCCTTGAAACATACAGTATACTCTGTGTCACAAATGTAAAAAAAAAAAAAAAAAAAAAAAAAAAAAAAAAAAAAAAAAAAAAAAAAAAAAAAAAAAAAAAAAAACCAGGATATATAACATAGGCATTTACATGATCTCATAAGTTGCCATAACCCTTAGACTTGAGGGCAACTGGAACTGAAACTGCACATCAAGTTGAAGCCTTATCTGCTACACTCCTCCTCACTTCAACATACTTCTGTCTCTCTTTGGAAGCTGATTCAGAGAAGCAGGAGTCACTCCAGGAATATAAAATGTATGTCAAAAAGGACAGGAATCCTCTGGCTTCTTTCATGAAATTAAATATTTGATAAACCTATGTAAAAGGATATATTTGAGCGCTTCCTATAACATCAGATAATAGTATATGGCTGCAGTTAATTTACCGTTTTGAATTGAATAAGGCATTTCACAGCACATTTGAAATGAAAACTCCTGTTGAAATCAGTGGAAGTTTTATTTCAGAAAGACTTGGTGGGATTCAAAATCCCTTAAGAGATTGATTCCGAAGGACTTGGTCTCAAAGCTCTCTTCTCTCTTCAGATCAAAATTCCACTTTTTCTGAGTAAGGTTGAGACAGATAATATTCAACACACAGCACTTGTGTGTCAAAAGATAGCTAATACCATGGAGAAAATAAGTAGCTGGAGCAAAAAGAGATATGGGCTAAGTAGAAAAAGAATTACTGAAGTATGTTCTAACAGCATGATTCTGAATAAAGTTCTCTCAGCAGACTACTGAAACAAAAACAATAAAAGCAAAAATCCCCAAACAAACAAAATCAGGCTAAGAAACTTTTATTCTTGGGGGTTTTGTGGGTTGTTTTGGGTTTTTTTGTTTGTTGTTTTTTTTCCAAAATGCTTGACAAATATGAGACACCATTTCATTTTTACCTCATCCAGCACTCACTATGCCTGCAAACCAAACAAATTTTTTCCTACCCCCTGGTCCTGTACTCAGAGCCCCAAAGCTGAGCTGTTTACTAGATACAGCTTCAGGTAGGTCTCATATCACTGCGCCTCCTTTTCTTAGGAGAGAGAAATTATCTTTACAGGCTCTGAACTTAAAAACAGCACATCCCTAACCCTTGGATCTGCCAGCCCATACACCCAAACCTGGTTTCAAGTCCATCCCTACCTTGGCTCATTCAATAGTGTATATGGTCTGATCTTATGGAATATCAAAAATGGCAATATTTTAAAAATACCAACAATGCAGCAGAGACTAGCAAAAATGCTGTCTCAGAGTTGGATTTGGATTTTGGAAATCAACATGCACTGGTATAAGAGCTTAGATATTAGCCGGATAAAGAGGTTCTGAGGTCATTTTCTTGCAAGACAGGGTCATCTTTATTGATTCCCAATAATGTGTCATAGAGTCACTGAAGCTGGACAGGACCTCCTGAGGTCCTCTACTCCAACACTTCTGCTCAAGCAAAAGTGATTAGTAACCTGATATGCTCACAAGTCTAT